TTCTCTGTGGCTTTGGAGGCTGTCCTGGAACTTGCTTGGTAGTCCAGGCTGGTCTCGAACTCACAGAGATCTGCCTGCCTCTGCCTCCCGAGTGCTGGGATTAAAGTCATGTGCCATCAACGCCTGGCTGAGAGTCATTCTGAATCTCCATTTCTCACCACTCCTACTCACCAGTTCTCCTGATTCTGTCTCCAATGGACCTTTCCCATCCACCCCACTCTTCCAGTTTCTCCTAAAACCAGGGTGCAGGAACCAGTCACAGCTGCTAGACCCCTTGTGCCACCCAGCTCCTCTTCAAGCCACTGTCCAGAGTGTGTGTGTGTGTGTGTGTGTGAGTGAGAGAGACAGAGACAGAGACAGAGACAGAGAGACAGAGAGATCAGAGGTCAATGTCAGGTGTATTCCTCCATTGTTTCTGTCCTTTGTATTTTTTTTCCTGAGATAGGATATCATGTAGTCCAGGCTATCCTTGAACTCTGTATAGTTAAGGACTACTGTCAACTCCTGATGCTCTTGTTTGCACTACCTCAGAGCTGGGGCTGTGAATGGAACCCAGACAGGCACTCGACCAGTGGAACTACATCCCTGTACCTACACCTTATTTTTGAGACAGGGTTTGCCACTGGCCTGGAGTTCACTGCTTAGGCTAGACCAGCTGGACAAGCCCAGAGAAGCTCCTGTTTCCACCTCCCCAGCCCTGGAATTACAAACATAAGAGGCATGCCAGGTCTGTTTAGCCTTGTTTTGTTTTAGCATGGGTTCGGGGATCAAGCTCAGGGCCTTGTGCTTGCATGGCAAGCACACCTTAACAAATACATTGACTCCCCAGCCCGTGTGACTTCTCTAAACCAGCAAACAGTAATGTGTTAGCACTCTAATGGTTCACCATCGCTAAAATCTGAACCCTCTTCTAAACAGGGTCCCACCAGCCCTTCCTCTCCCAATCCTACACCCACAGCTTCCTTCCTACTGCAAATAGGGCTTAAGTAAGCAGAGTTGCATGCTTGATGTCCTGGATTCCATTCCCAGAACCACACAAAGCTGGCTCGTGGTGTGCTTCTGTAATCTCAGCTCTTGGGAGGTGGAGACAAAGAATCAGGTTGTCTTCGGTTACACAGGGAGTTCAAGGACAGTCTTAGCTACATAGACCCTGTCTCAAAAACAAAAACACAGAAGTAGCAGACAGACCTGTGTGGCTGTGCAGTAGAGAGAGGGAGAGCCTGCGTGACATGAGACCAAGCATGGGGCTGAGGAGCTGCTTCAGTGGGTGAAGCGTTCGCTGGGCAAGCTGTGATGATGTGTCTGCAATCCCAACAGAAGAGGTAGAGAGACAAGACGAATCCTTGGGGCTCACTGGCCAGCAGTCTAGCAGAGTGGGCAAGCCCCAGGTTCAATGAGAGACCATATCTCAAAAAAAAGGAAGATGGCTGTGAGTTCCAGACCAGCCTGATCCAAATAATGACTTCCAGCCAGGATTACACAAGAGGAAAAAAACATAGTGAGGTAGAGGAACTGGTGAGAAGGATCAGCAGATGAAGGTCACTTGTCACCAAGCCTGAGGACCCAAATTCTAGCTCTGGGATTCTCGAGGTTGGAAAGAGAGAATTCTAAGCTGTTCACCAAGGAGATCACTTTGTCAACAATTTTTTTTCAGTGACTTGTTTTATAGTTGATTGAAAAGAATCTCAGTGTTCCATTTAGTTTGGGGACCAGCAAGTTTTAAATTTCTAATTTTTAAAGTTACTTATATTTGTTCGATTAAGTCTAGGACCTGACAATGAAGAAAGAACATTAGGTTCCAATATGATATGGAAGTTTCTAGAACAGCAGGAACCCCAGATGTATCTTTATTCCCTACAGTACCCACGTGCTTTGGGAAGAACCCTAACAAAAATCATCTCAGTAGTGTCTAGTCTAAAACTTTTTCTTAAAAGAAGCCAGGTGTGTGCATGCCTTTAGTCCCAGCATTCGTGAGGCAGAGTCAGGGGGAGCTCTGTGAGTTCAATTCCAGCCTGGTCTACAGAGTGAGTTCCAGGACAACCTCCAAAACAATACAGAGAGACCCTGTCTCGAAAAAACAAAACAAAAACAAAAAAACAAAAAACAAATGGAAGCTAGTCTTCAAGAAGGCCAGTGGTCATTGGGATGCAACTCAGTTGTAGAGTGTGAGCCTAGCATACATGAAGTCCTGGGTTCACTTCCCAGCACAGTGTAGACCATGTATGGAGGCACACCTTTGTCAGCTCAGCACCAAGCAGGTAGAAGCAGGAGGATCAAAAGTTCACACACTTGGGACTGGAGAGATGCTTCAATGGTTAAGAGAACAGGATTGCTCTTCCAGAGGACCTGGATTCACTTCCCAGCATCCACATGGTGACTCATATCCCTACCAGGGATCTGATGCCCTGTTCTGATCTTCTGGCTCCTGCACACACAAGCTGAAGGACCTGAGTTCAATCTCCAGAACTCACGTTAAGAAACCTGGCATGGTATATTCCTGAAATCCCAGCCATGGCAGAATGGGGAGCCAAGAGGACTGGACTCCTGGAAGTCACAGACCAGGTAGCCTGGCCTACATGGCAAAGTTCAGACGAATGATAGACCCTGCCTCAAACAGGTGAAAGGTACCCTTGTTCTGTGACCTCTGAATGCACCTGCATATATGAGTGTGTGCGAGCATGCTCTCTCGTGCGCTCTCGAGCGCGTGTACACACACACACACACACACACACACCTCCTGTGCTAGGGGAATAGCTCAGTGGTAGAGACTAGCATACGCAAGGGCCCAGGCTCAGTCCTCAGCAGTATGGGAAGTGGGGTTCTAGTATTCTGTCCTCCTGCAGACAGTCCAGAGTTCCACCCCAATAGTTCCGGTTACTATTAGAGTGTCTCCAGCAAGGATGGTCCCCACATTCAGAAATGAGATGAATGCGGGTGAGATTTAGTCACAGAACCCGGAGAGGTTCGCCAGGATGGAATGAGGCAACACAAACTCCCAGGTTTCAAACTTTTTACGGAGCCTTAAGCCATCATCCCCAAGAGAAGAACCTTGAAGAACTTCAAGTCAAGAATGTACACACCTTTCTTCCATCTTTTGTATGGGAGTATACACAGATGTGTGCTTGTGTTGTAGTGCCCTGCACACACATGCACATGCATGTTGAGGCAGACACTTCCATCAGGAATCACCCTCACTTTAAGCCAGAGCTCACTGAAGGGGGAATCTCACAAACTCACCCAGGGATCCCATCTCCACCTTCCAATGCCAGAATTTCAGGCAGGCTGCTGTGCCCGCCCACTGGACATTTATTTGGGTTCTGGGGATCCTCCTAGACTGAGTCAAAATCTTTGAGGCTCCATCCCCAGCACCAAATCAGACAGGCAAAGCACAAAGAAGGGACAACACCTCTACTTCCACCACCTACCAAGAACTCTCCAGATTCCACTTGAGGTTCCAGCTCTCATTCCTACCTTTATGTGTCTAGGCCCCATTTTCCAAAAGCCATTCAGTAACCCACACCCACACCTTCCCCACACAGAAGCCTGGAAAAACATGTCCTCAGGCACAGTAAAACCTTGCTGGGATCTCAGATAAGAGCAGCCAGTAATTGGAAAGGAAGAGGAGGAACTGGGTGTCCCACTGGTGTAGTGTGTGTGCCTAGCCGTGCAAGGCCCTGACCCAACTAACTCATGGGGTAGAGGCAGGAACATCAGAAGTTCGTTCAAGGTCACTCTCGTTACAAATCAAATTGCAGGCCAGCCTGGGCTACAAAGGACCATGTTTCTCACACACACAAAGTTCCAGAACCAATGTCCAACCTTGGCTCAAGCTCCTGGTTCTTCCCAGTATTCAGCACCTCCTTTCATGGTCCCCTGAATCTCACAACATCCCCACCAGAATCCCGGCTTAAGAAGCACCGCTTTGAGGCGGGGCATTGGTGGCGCACGCCTTTAATCCCAGCACTCGGGAGGCAGAGGCAGGCGGATCTCTGTGAGTTCGAGGCCAGGCTGGACCGACAGCCTCCAAAACAATACAGAGAAACCCTGTCTCGTAAAAACCAAAAAAAAAAAAAAAAAAAAAAAGCACCGCTTTGATGTGTTCTCAGACTTGACACACAGGAATCTTGCTCTGTTTAAAGCAAGCTTCACTTGCACATCTAACACAGGCCTTCTTCCCCTCTGATAAGCCTTGTTCATTCAATAGCCCCCAAACTTATGAAAAGTGATTAGAAAATCAAGAGAGAGCAAGGGTTCTCTGTCTACAGGAGTTGAAGGCAAATCCATGAATAATCTGTCCACTGGAGACTCCAGATCCTGTCTCCAGAAGAACACCCTGATAACATCAAAGTTCCAAGGTTCTAGTATTCGCTTGGAATTGAACACAGCGGGAGGAAGGACGCTGTTGTGGGTGTGACGCTTTCTGGGGCTCCAGGTAGGAGCCATGCACCCGGAGCCAAGATGCAGGGCCAGGAAAAACCCTTCAAGCCACCGTGCTTCTAGAAGCCACCTTCGATGCTAGTCACGCTCCGAACCGCATTTGGAAGACAGGATCAAAAAGTAATTCACAACCAACCAAGCCCCTTCCAAACTTCAGGAACCCAGCCCCAGGCCACCCAAAGTACAAGTTCCTACCTTTAAGAACGAACTTTGGGCAACATTTTATCGCTCAGAAAGGCACTGAGGAAGTGGACCAACTCAAGCAGGAGGCCCGAAAAGGCAGGAAGTGGTCATTTGTGGGAAAAGGGAAGGACAGGCGGCAAAGAAAGAGAAACTGGGGCACCTCCCCCATGTCCTCAGCACCCCCAGATCCAGCTGGGAGGCCCTCCGGCTTTCCCAGGGGACACCTCCCAAGTCAAGCGGGGCGCGGCCCGGGGCGTTGTCCTTCAGGGGACATGTCCCTCCCTCCCAACGTGGAACCAGGAGGCCCGCAATCGCACACACTTCCCTATCCCAGGGCGCACCCCGCGCCTAGGGTCCCCTGCGGGGCGCAGCATCCTTACCTGGGGGACCCGTCCCACCGCCGCTCTGGCCGTGCGCACAACCAGACTCGCCGCTCTCACGCGCGCCCCGCCCCGTCCTGGGGCCGGACCCCAGCTGTCCCCAGTCGATTTGTCATTGAGCAGTCGTGAGCTCGCGTCCCCACCCCCTGAAGCTCGTTCCCGCTGTCCGCCCGGCAACCCAAGCCTCTCCAGAGCCGGCCCTCCCTTCCGCTCCCGAGGCCACGCCTACCAACCAATCCGAAGCGGTACCACCAAACTTTCGCCAATGAGAAAGCGTCTTGAGCGTAGGGGTGTGGCCCCATAGAAATGCCCCGCCCATCCCTCCTTCCTTTTGGCTTCTCCGCGGGACTAGCGCACGTGACCGCTGCTGCAGTGGCGGAGCTTGGGAACTGGTCTGGGGACGCCAGGCGTGGGCGGGTGCACTCCCAGGGAAGCCACAGCAAGGCCAGAGTAGTGAAAAAAGCCAAGAAGGACAGAGCTGATAGACAGAAACCAATGGGGAGGACGAGGTGGCCAAGTGTGACCTGCGCCCTGGTGTGGAAGGAAGCAAGCAGTTTTGGAGACCCTTGGCCAAAAGTTAGAAACTACAGGTGGCTCCGCCTCTAGCTTGGCCTATGACATTCTATTAGTAAAGGAATTACAGCTGTTAACTTGACCTAGGTCACATGCAAGGGCTGGAACCCTAGACAAGCTGCCCTGCCAACACCCTCCTACGCCCAGGAGCTTGTAATTTTCTAATACGATTTCGACTAGGGTTGATTTTCCTAGCTGAACCCTAGCCACCTCCCACCACCACTGTTGTGTGATACCCTTCCCCATTCCGTACAAACTCCATGGCGCATTTCACCGTATGGCAATTAATAATTCAATGCCTGTCTCTAATCTTTGAGGAGGGAAACAGTGATAACAGTAGCCCGCACTGTGTAATTACTCTTGTTGATAATTCTAAATTAGGATACATGTATATTATATCTGAGGCTTTGTACTTTGTTTAAATGGTTCCATACCAGCAGCTAACAGACCCAGTCCTCCCACTGACAGCATAGGGAGAAGCGGAGTCTTGGGGCAAGCCAGACAGGAGAGGGAGAAAAGTCACCTGCAGAGATGCATATAGTCTCAACCTGAGTTAGACCCCTGGGATCCACATAATGGAAAGGGAACTCAAGCTGTCCTCTGACCTCTGTCTCTCTCTGTCTCTGTCTGTCTGTCTCTCTGTCTCTGTCTCTGTCTCTCTCTCTCTCTCTCTCTCTCACACACACACACACACATACACACACGTATAGATGTAAATTTAAAAGATTGCTTAAAAAAGAAAAATACAGGACGGGACGGTGGTGGCCCACGCCTTTAATCCCAGCATTCCGGAGGCAGATGCAGGCAGATCTCTGTGAGTTCAAGGCCAGCCTGACCTAAAAGAATTAGTTCCAGGACAGCCTCCAAGGCCACAGAGAAACCCTGTCTTGAAAACCAAAACAAAAAGATACAGAATAATATATCTGGGCGGTGATGGCACACAGCTTTAATCCTAGCACTCAGGGGGCAGAAGACAGAGGCAGGTGGATCTCTGTGAGTTGAGGCCAGCCTGGTCTACAGAGTGAGTTCCAGGATAGGCTTCAGGCTTCAAAGCTACACAGAGAAACTCTGTCTCGAAAAACAAAAGAAGGAGAAGGGAAGGGAAGAGAAAGAGAGAGAGAGAGAGAGAGAGAGAGAGAGAGAGAGAGAGAGAGAGAGAGAGAGAGAGAGAGAGAGAGAGAGAGAGAGAAGGGCAGACTAGGAAGCTGCTTTTTAAAAATAACATTTATTTGCATTGCATGATGCCCACACAGGGCAGAAGAGGGTGTGGATCCTCTGGAACTGGAGTTACAGGTGGTTGCGAGGCATCATGTGGATGCTGGGAACTGAGCATCTGCAAAAGCAACAAGTGCTGTTAACCGCTGAGTCATCTCTCCAGACCCTACGGGAGGCATCTTAAAATATCGTGCAGAGTTCATAACCTGGGAGAACCACACAGAAGCCTGCCGGAGTCAGGAAGTGTAGGCTAAAGGAGTCACGGCCTCCATGTGACTAGCACCACTTGATTATAGTCACTAAGCTGCCTGCACTGCCTGTTTCCCAGCTAGGCAACTGGAGCAGTACCTCTGAGCTGTAGGGACACAGGGTTAGCGAGGTTACACACGGAGATGTCAAGACAAACACAGACAAGGACTTCCACAGTGAAGGGCAGCAAACGTTACCTCGAAGGCTCCCATGTGTGTGAAATTCTTCCTCAGGCAGGCCCCTTTGATGAGACACTAACTCAAACAGTACAGCTGTCTGCCTATCCACAAGTGAAAGGAGTAGCTCAGGAGACAGTCAGTTGCAGGGTCACAGACAGGCCAGAATTTCCCTGTGTCCAGTCCTGACTCCCATCCCCACCCGGCCCCCGCCATGTAACCTCACCGGCTCTGACCCCCGCTTTCCCGGGTCAGAGTGTGTGACTTACAAACAGGATGCACTGGGCTGTATGAAAGGCTGACTCATGCCCGGTCGCTGGGATGCGTGGATTCCACTGGGACCCCATCAGCAGAGTAATGCCAAGGTCTCGGCATGCCAGGCCCCCACAGGAGACTGACAGACACGGGGGCAGGGGCTCTCACACAGCGCATGTGCCCTGCTGTGGAAAGGGTACTGAGATGCCTCTTGCCACGTCTCAGGTGGGCCCTTGCCCTCCATGCTGCTTCTTCAGGAACTCTGACTTGTGGCGGAGCCAGGGGTCTGTCTCAGCAGCAAGAATACACGGTGCCCAGGCAGACCTGTGAGGTCCCTCTGATTTACTGATGTCCTGAAGAGAAGATGAACACACCCCCCTTCAGAAGCATTTACTGAGCACTGTGAACAACTTCTGTGCTGACTGACAAATGCTCTCCTCTCCCCAGGTCAGGTAACCTGAACCCCTTGGCTGGCTGGGGCCAACCCATGACTACTGAACACATCTGTCATTTCTAGAATGAGGGCAGTACTTCGTTCGGTAGAGTGCCACCTCTAGGGCAGGATCAGGAATGGGTCCTTCCAGGGAGGAGGAGGGGAGCTGTGCCAGTGGCGAGGACTCTTCCCTCTGGGCAACCCCAGTCCCAGGGCCTTCCTGCTGGGCAGTGGTAGCCAGTGAGTTTGCCCCTGTGCCTTCCCTCACAGGACTGTAGTGGTGACGGGTACAGGGCCTTTGGGTCCCTCCGCCTCGAGTGTGGTGACTAGGGCTGACCTTCCCATGACTCAGCAGCTCCTGCAGGGGGAGGTGTGACTGAGGGAACAGGGAGAATGCCTTCTGATGGAGGAGGCCTTGGAATGATCTAGAACCAGACTGGACAGGCCTGCTGCTTCTCCTATTGAGGGCTGGTTTACCGTGACTTTGGAGCCTCAGAGACCTGGCTTGCAGCCATCAGGCCTGGTGACTGGGATGGTGTCGTTGGTAAAGTTCTGCCTTACAAGCAGGGGCACCTAAGTTCAACCCTCAGAACCCATATGCTTTTTGTTTGTTTTTAAAGTTCGGTGTGGTGGCACACATTTGAGATTCCTGTGCGGGGGACAGAGACAGGAAGATTCTTGGGGCTCACTAAGCAGCTATGCTAGTCTACTTGGTGAGTTCTAGATGTCAGTGTCTCAAAACGAGGTGGCTCGGAGGTGAAGAGCACATGCTGCTCTTGCCGAGGACCTGGGTTCAGTTCCCAGCACCCACACGGTGAGTCACAACTCCCTGTAGATTCAGTTCCGGGGGACCAGATGCTCTCTACTGACATATTCAGACTTCTATGCACACAGAGGACAGATATACCCACATTATATATATAACGTGTGTTTGTGTGTGTGTGTGTGTGGAATGACAGCCCAGGTTGCCCTCTGGCTTGCACCCTCATGTGCATACACATGCATGCACACTCATGTATACGTATACATACACACATGCACATATACACACATGCACACTGACGTACAGGTGAATTAATTAATTTTTAAAAAAGGATGTCAACCCATGCTGTGTGACCCCAGGGAAATCTCTTCACCTCTCTGAGCTTTATCTGTATGCTCTAGTCCAGGTCCACCCTCTGTACCAGGAGAGCCCACCACCTGACTTCTACAATTTAGTGCACCACCGAGCCTCCTCCCTCCCAGCCCCGCCCTGCTTTTGAACAACTCTGCATCCCCACCCCCACACCCCACACACATTTAGATGCTGGACTAGAGGGAAACCCTTGAAGTTGAAGGACGTTGGCCCTCCACTTTCTGACCTGGGCTGGCTCACGTCTAAAGGGAAAAAACAGCCTCGTGGGCAGAAACCCCATCCTTTCTTTGTTTTCCAGCTTCCGGGGAAACACCAGGTTCCACTGTGCTTTCCTTCCTGACTCCCCCACCCTCCTTCCAGAAATCCCCCAACTGCTGCCAAGCTTTGACACAAAGAGAATGTTTAGAGCCAGGGGCCCCTGTGTGCTCACCCAGCCACAAGCCCTCCCTCCCCTGGCGACACAGGAGAGGAGTAGGCGAGACCGGGGGATAGACACTGAGGAGGGGGTCAGTGGTCACCTATGATAAGGATGCTTTTGGCATTAAGGGCCCTGGCCAGGCTGGGTCCCCCTCAGCATGGCCTTAACGGAGCATGGGGGAGCCTGTGATCCCCATGCCAGTGAGGTAGAGGCAGGGGGTCATACGTTTCAGACCTCAGCCGGAGGAAGGAGGTACAGTGGAGGCACCTGGAGACAGAGTCCGGCACCTGATGGGCACGTAGGAGCCGGTCTTTCTCTCCTTGGCAGCTGTTGGGCAATAAACCCAGGTGGGAGCCACACCCACCTGGGGCTTGGGAGGGGCGCAGAAGAGCACACCACCTGAAGGGCCCCCTCCATCTTTGCTGAACTCAAAGGCTGGTCATGCGAGACTTACCTCCACCCAATGTGGGAGTGGGGCACTTGGGGGTGAGGGCGGGAAGCAGGCTGGTGCTGGGGGTGAGCTCAGCAGAAGGGTGCCTGTGCTTTCCTCAGACCCGGCAGGGGTTCCAACCCTGGCCCCATGCAGCAAGAAACATGAGAGAGCCAGTATCAGGGGGAGAAAGACTCAAGGGAATTGGATTCCAACTGTGGAAGCCCAGAATTGGAGACACACAAGGAAATGAAAGTCCTGTCCCGTCCATCTTCTCTACGCAAACTCGAGATAATCCCAGAACAAGCCCATTCTTTCCACCTTATATCCCAGGAAAGGGCTGCAGGGACAGGGTCCAGGACAGACTGTGACTCACTCTGAGTCAGGGATGACACCACCCAGCCAGCCCTTCAACCCTCCCTGTCTGAACAACAAGTCACTGTACAGGGTGCCACCCCTTTCTCAGTGACTCTCTGAGTCCCTTAACCCCACCCTTAACCCCACCCTGACCTAGTCCCTCCTCCTCAGGCTAGATGCCAGGACTCTGAACTCACTGATGCCCCTCACTGTTGCCTCTCTTCCATGCTACCCCCTGCCTTCTGTAGCTTCTGCTGCCATTCCTGTCCTTCTACTACAGGTAAAGTAACTGTCCAGGTAGCACAAAAAGATGGACCCCTGGCACCAATCACAGGGGATCTTGTCTCCGAGGAAGAGATTTCACACAGGTCTGATGGCTAATCAGACCATCTTGTAGGCGAGAACGGAACCTAGACAGTGATGGGTCATTGATGGGCAGGCTCACACCTTGACCAGTACTGCTTAGCTGTGCACACTGTTGGCTCTCCATTTAAAATGAAACCTCATTCAGGCCTGGGATGTGGGGAGGGTGGGAGGGTGAGAGGGTGGGGATTTGGGTGGGAGGGTTATCACCAGGGCACACTGAATAAATCTTTCTCTGCTTTTCATTATGTCTTGTCTCTTTAATAGACCTGTTGAGGACCAGTGCTTGTCAGGGCTGCAAGGCCCAGGTTCTGACTCTAACAACTCCAGTAACAGAAATGGACTCTCCCATGACCTCTCTGCAACGCCTGGTCATCAGGGTCTTGCACCTCGGCCCTACTTGCTCCAAGAAGACTGTATGCAACTGTCTTCCTGTGCCTGACCAGAGCGAGAAAGGCAGGATGCCTCCATTCAGTGTCTACTGCATGCTGGCCAAGGCACACATGGCCCCTTTTACGAGGACAGAGGCAGAGGCTTCAGAAGTGGAGTTTTTACCAGCTTTGGTGCAAGGACCAAGACTTCCTGGGAGAGAGGGAATAAAGCTCACCTACTTAGACCTGAGAAGTGAAGGGATCAGAGGGAGGTTGGCCAAGGCTGAGTCCTGAGACACACAGGCTCAAGACAGGGAGCCCATGTGGTCTCAGCCCACCACGACTGACCTCAGTGGGGGCTGTTTGGAGAAGAGCAAAAGGGAAATTTCAAGAACTACACCACCAGCAGAAATCCTGGAATAACAGGAAACACCCCCCCTCCCCACCTACCTTGCAAACAGGAAGCTTCAGGACAGTTCCTGGAAGAAATCCCTATAGGCTTCCTCTGCAGAGCGAGGTCCTATGACCTCAGGGTCCAGAGACAGTTCTGTGAGACAAAGCCACTGTCCACACTGCACAATTCTTGTTTCAGGGTTTAGTGTTCCCTTGCACAGCTTCCTGCAGCTTACACTTTCCACAACCAGAGTCTGTATCAATGGTGTGTGTGTGTGCACGCTCAAGGGCACACATGCTTTTGCCATAGTAAACCAAAGATGGAACTTACCTGACTCTTTCCCTTGTCAAAGGTACACATCTGAGTCCCAGGATACCCCAGGTTCTGTGTCCCCAGACAAAGAATTGTACCAGAAACACATGGTTAGAAATAGAGCTAGGTTAGCCGAGCGTCGGTGGCGCACGCCTTTAATCCCAGCACTCGGGAGGCAGAGGCAGGCGGATCTCTGTGAGTTCGAGGCCAGGCTGGACCTACAGCCTCCAAAACAGAGAAACCCTGTCTCGTAAAACCAAAAAAAAAAAAAAAAAAAAGAAATAGAGCTAGGTGCTAGGTGGTGGCGGCACGTGTCTTTAAGCCAAGCATTTGGGAGGCAGAGGCAGGCAGGTCTCTGTAAACTAGAGGGCAGCCTGATGAACAGAGTGAGTTCCAGGACAGCCAGAGAAACTCTGTTTCAAAAATAAAGATAAAGAAAGAGAGACAGTTCGTTGATGTAAAATGCACTGAGTATTCATGGTGGTATAGCATTTGGGAAGCAGAGGCAGGAGGCAGATCTCAGAGAGTTCAAGGCAACCCTGGGCAACATAACAAGTTCCAGGCTAACAAAATGAGGCGTATGTATGCATGTGTATAGAGACCAGAGGATAACCTTCTCTGTCGTCCCTTAATGTATGTATATTTATACACGGTTTCTCATTGGCCTAAACTTGCCAAGTAAACTAGACAGCCTCTGCCTGGCTCCACTCCCCCAGCACTGGGAATATAAGCACATGCCACCATAGTTGTTTGTTTGTTTGTTTTTTAACATAGCTTTTGGGGATGGAATTCAGTCCCTGTGCTTACAAGGCAAGCACTTCATTGAATGAGTATCTTTCTAGTCCTCTACCTGCTAGCTTCTGCCACCGTGAGTCTTCCAAATTAGTTCCAGCTGGGGAACCAAGCCTTCAACATGAATTCACAGAACACATTTAATATTCAAGCCGTAACGGTCCCTAAGACCCTCTGTTCACTGAGGAGTCTGTGACAGAAAGTCCATCTTGCCTCTGGCCCCCAAGGCTCTACTAAGTGGCCAGCTCTGACTTATAGTGACACACCAGTCCTTTTCCCTTAGAGCTGACTTCCTGTTCATGAATGTTGCTGGATGCTCAAGAAAAGGCCCCATGGGGACATCTGGAGGAGGCAGGGCTGCCAAGGGGTCATCTTCACCCAAGATGCACTTCCCATCAACATGGGAAGACAGAGGCTCCAGCTAGCACCCTGGTACCCAGCCTCGATCTTCCATGTTGTAAACCATTGAAGACTGGCCAAACCATCCCCACCCAGCTTTTCCCCCACAGACACTTTAATTGCTTTCGGATTCTACAAGCCCCATTGTTAAACACAAGTCCAGGTGTTTCATAAGGGCTTACATGGGAAAGTAGCTCTGGGGTCAGCGCCCTAGTCCCAGGTTGTCAAGGCTCCACACTCAGGGTGGCCTGAAGGAAAGGCAGTTGGCCAGTCACCAGACAGTGTGATGGCTAGTGGCCAAATGTGCTCTGGGTCATCAGCCTTGCTAGTCAGCACACCTGGGCAGTCTCTGTCTTGCTCAGGAAGGCCTGACACTGCTCTAATTGCCTGAGGTGCTCACAAATGTTTGTTACCTTTCTTCCCTCCCCTCCCCTCCCCTCCCTTCTCTTCTCTTCTTTTCTCCCCCCTCTGTCTCTCTCTTCATCTCTATCGGCTTTAATTTTGCATTCCTTTACCACCCCAGGAACACAGTAGACACTCATGATGGTTAATATTATCAACTCAACAGGATCAAGAATGACCTAGAAGAAAACTCTGGGGCATATACATGATGGATTGTCTAGACTGGATTGTGTTGGGAAGACCCACTCTAAATGTGGGGGGCACTAAGCGGGGGGGGGAGCACTGGACAGAATGAAACGGAAGAAGTGAGCTGAGCACCAGCATCCATCTTGGCACCCTGATTGGGGATGCCGTGTGACCAGCCACTTCGGGTTCCTGCCTCCATGCCTTCTCAGACTGAACCAGACAAAGCCTTCCTTCAGCTCCTTTGCCAGGTATTCAGTCACGGTGGTGAGAAAAGTGACTAATCCAGTGCTCAGAGTGACTTGTCCACATCCCAACAGCTCAGAACTGGAGAATGCCGGAGCCCAGCTCTGCCACCTTAGATGTCTGAGTCCCAGGGTCCTCATAGGCATGTGTGACAGGCACACTTCAGAGCCGCGGCAGTGTCTCCCACACCAGTGACTGCTATTTTTAGCTTTTGTTTGTTTGTTTGTTTATTTAATCTTTTTTTTTTTTTTGGTTTTTCGAGACAGGGTTTCTCCGTGGCTTTTTGGAGGCTGTCCTGGAACTAGCTCTTGTAGACCAGGCTGGCCTCGAACTCACAGAGATCCACCTGCCTCGGCCTCCCAAGTGCTGGGATTAAAGGCGTGCGCCACCAAGGCCCGGCTGTTTATTTAATCTTAAGGGAACAGCGGTGATCAAATGAGGGGTTGAGACAAAAGAAATCAAATCCAGTTTGGGGACACAGGTTCTGGATTTCCCCATGAAATGTTGCAGGAATTGCCCTGGTGGCACCTTTGGTGTGAGTTTTGGCACTGACTCAATTAGGCACAGTGACGGGATATTTACCTAAGGCCTGCAGAGTGCAACCACAGGCTAAGGGAAGCGGTGGCAGAGGTGGGGCAAACAGGCTGTTATGAGAGACGTCCAGGCTTTACGCCTTGATCCTGAAAATGGAAGCAAGAAGACACCCTCGAGGGCACTCAGCGGAAGGTACAGCCCTGCCAGCGGACAGACGGCCAGCGGACAGACGGCCAGCGGACAGACGGCAGGCCAAAGGACTTGGTCCATTCAAGCCTGTGAACAGAATGAGGAGGAAGAACTGTCTCGAAGCAGCCATGGCAAGCCGTGCTTGGGGAGTTTACTCGGGGTGAAGCCAACAGCAGCTGTGCGGGAGGGGGGGAGGGGGGGAGGGCGGGGGCGGGGGGGGGCTCACCCAGCCTGGGCTCCTTCAGTCCCGTGTTTCGTAGAAGGAAGAGAACTGAGTCCATCCAGACTTCCGGACTGGAAAAGGGCGCAGAACTGGGCCACCACCAAGTCTGCTCACTGGAAGTTTGCAAAGCCTGCCGTCAGGAGGTGTGGTTTCAGTGACAGAAACACTAATAAATGTCAATGCTCAGATCTCAGGCCAAAATGGAAAAAAAGCAAAACCAAAAACCAAAACCAAACCAAACAAACAAACAAAAAACCAGGGCGGGGGCTGGAGAGCTGGCACTCCCAGGGGATCTGGTGACTATTTATCTCCGTTGATTCCATCACACACCGGATGCACAAAAACACTCAGGCATTGTGGTGGTTTCAATGAAAATAGCCCCCATAAGCAACAATTCTTCAGTTTTTCACTTTGAGCTTCCGGTCCTCCTTAGACAATAATTAAAAACAATTGCTAACCAACAGTTTAAAAGAACCCTCCAAGTTGTGTGTGTGTGTGTGTGTGTGTGTGTGTGTGTGTGTGTGTGTGTGTGTGTGTGTGTGTGTGTGAGTGTCCCAGCTCCTAGGCTCCTAGGCTCTCCTGGCCTTCCTTCCAGCTTGTCTGACTGCAACATATGTCTCCACTTCCTGTCTGCAGGGCTCCCTGGCAGACATCCTACGGGACTGGCAGTCCAACCCCCAGGGTCTCCATTTTTTTTTTTTAACAGCTTTATGTAATGACCTCCAGGCCTCCATTCAGGTACTCCAGTACCACACACCTGGCCTCAGGCAGCTCTCGCTGACTTCAGAGGAAGACACAACAACCCCTTTACTCTTGTGTCCTTCATGACTCTAAGGTCAGAACCAAGTGAATGAAGTGCACACCTAGTAAAAGTCCTACTGCCTGCCTGGTCTGGAACCTGGGTCCCTGTATGCGCTTTGGTTTACTGATGCTTTTCCTTTGTAGAACAAGCTTTACTTTGCTCTAGGAGCAGGAGACTCCTCAGGCATATCCTTTTGACCGGTTGGAAGCTTAGCTGGGTGGTCTTGCCCTGGGGGCATCACTCTCCATTCCATTTCACGTCAGGCCTTTCTTTAAAAGTCACGTCTCTGAGCAAAAGTCTTGGCCCCAGCATTGGACTCCCCAGTGCCGTTCTCCTCAAACTGTAAATTTTGTATTCTTTTTGTCCTGCTTGATCTTTTTCACTGTAGACAAGCGTAAGCGTGATCATTAGTAACTACAGGACAGAGTCAAGATTAGGTTGTTTTAAAATCTCCTCAGCCAGTGAAATTAGTCCAAAACTCTTCAACTGAGCCTTGAACAGATTCTTAGGACAAAGGCAGCCACAGCCCTTGCCAAAATATTACAAAAATGGTCTTTAGCCGAGTTGTAAATGTTATTCTCCTCTGAAACCTCTTGAGTGGGGCCTCCATAGTCCTTATTGTTTTTAGCACTATTATCTTCCAAGCTCCTGGAATGACTGTCCATTAAATCCCACTGACAGCATTTATGCTGGGTAGTTTTATGCCAACTTGACACAAACTAGAGTCATTGGAGAGAAGGAAGGAGCCTCGACTGAGAAAATGTCTCCTTATGGTCCTGCTGTAGCAAGCCTGTAGGACATTTTCTTAATTGTGGGTGATAGGAGAGGGCCCAGGTCATTGTGGGTGGTGCCTCCCCTAGCCAGGTGGTCCTGGGTTCTATAAGAAATCAGGCTAAGCAAGCCACCGGGAGAAAGTCAGTAAGCAGCTCCCCTCCATGGCCTCTACATTAGCTCCTGCCTGCAGATTGTAGTCCTGCTTGGGTTTCTGTCTTGACTCCCTTCAGTGATGGACTACAGTGTGAAGTGTTAAGCCAAATAACCCTTTCCTCCCCAACTTGACTTTGGTCATGGTGTTTCATCATAGCAATAGTACCCTAACTATGACAGCATTCAATTGCTTTCCTAGTCCAAAGTCTTGCATGTTCCTCCAAAAAACACCCTGCTCAGGCCCTTATTCTTCACAATAACTTCTTTACATATACATATTTTGCTCCTGGTACCAATTTCTGGCTTAGTTACTTTTTTATTGTTGGACGAGGACCAAGACAACTTATAAAAGCAAGTGTTTAATTTGGGACTCACAGATCCAAAGGATCAGTGCAGGACCAGCATGGCGGCAGGCAGATATGGCACTGAATCAGTAGCTGAGAACTTACATCCCATCTATAAGGGAGGAGCAACAAGTGCATGCTAAGGAGGATGCTGCGGCCTTTTGAAGCCTCAAAGCCCACCATGTGACCTCCTAACCCTTCCCAACCAGTTTTACCAACTTCCGACCAAGCAATTAAATATATGAGTCTAAGGGAGCCATTTTCATGCAAACCACCACAGCTACTTTTCTCATTGATGTAGCCAAATACCAGACAGGGAGCCCCTCAAGGGAGGCTTATTTGGACTCCAAGTCTGAGGAGCTATAGTTGATCAAGGCAGAGAGGGTTTGGCAGAATCCACGAGTTTACAGCCCAAGAAGCGGAGGCCTACCCCGGGGACCCACTTCCTCCCGTCAGGCCCCACCTCTTGGCTCCACAAGCTCCAGTCTTCTGATAGCAGGTTTTCCAATCCACCGGGCTGTGGGAGGCATTCCACACTAACCACAGCACGGGGCAGACCTCCCACTTCTGCACCGTGCTCAACGCTGCCAAGGTCCCTGCCTCCTGCGGTAACCGAAGCTCCACAGCCCGGCAAGCAAGGGCCGGGGCAGCGTTTCACCTCACCAGCTGCCCAGGTCTTACAGCTTCCCCACCTTGATTCCGTTTCACCAGAGGCTTTTACAGGACCCCAGACACACAAATCAAACAAATCATAAAGAAATTTATTTTGAAACAATTCTTTGGCAACATAATTTAGGGATGAAAGCAAATTTAGGTAGCACTGAGCTAGAAGGTCTTATTTTTACACAAAATCTAGATCCTGCCTGGATATTTATAACACAGGGTACAGAGTACCTTCATAAGTCATTTCCAGAGTTGACAGCGACTTTGATTTCATAACCTGAAGGCTGAGAACTGGGCAAAATGCATGTGCAGGGCCATTGCAGAAACTGAAAAATTCTGTCTTCTCCCCAAGCCCAAACTCACCAGTGATGTTTTTTGAAACTTAACAACTCAAACAGCAATTTTAAAGCATGTAACGCAGTTCGGTTTCAAGGTGTGCTGGCTGGTGTGGGGAAGTCAGTCTGCTTTCTGCCATTAAACCTTCATGCCTCTTGAAGAGAAGAAAACTTTGTATGTAAAATGGTAAAACTCTGCAATTCATAACACAACAACCTCAAATTGGAGCCCAGGGTTTCAGGCAACACTGGTTGGTGCTGTGTGGCTTGACACATGCGCAGTGGGAAATGTGAGTGCTATGTGTTAAGAACAAGGCTTTGATGAAGTCACAGGCTGCAACATGGGGTGGGGAGAGGCTCCACCAGATTTCCAAGTTCAAAAACCTTTTGCTACAACCAAATTACTTTTGTAACTCCCACATTCAGTGACATGAGCACATACGGGGTCAAGATCCCCAGTTTTAAAAAGCTGGGAACTTAGGGATCCTGCTGTCTCTAGGAGGGACAGAGGCACACCTCCAGAACATCCCCTGTATCACTGCACTTACCCTTGGGGGCCTCTAACCAGGTGAAACTAGCATCCACGTCTTCACTGCTGACAAGAATCCCATGACAAAGCATAGTTGGAGATGAAGACATGTTAGAGCTAGTGAGATGGCTCAGTGGGCTAGCCTTAGATTCCACAGTTGAGAGAGTAGAGTCAGTGAGATGGCTCAGTGGGCTAGCCTTGGATTCCACAGTTGACAGAGTAGAGTCAGTGAGATGGCTCAGTGGGCTAGCCCTGGATTCCACAGTTGAGAGAGCAGAGTCAGTGAGATGGCTCAGTGGGCTAGCCCTGGATTCCACAGTTGAGAGAGCAGAGTCAGTGAGATGGCTCAGTGGGCTAGCCTTGGATTCCACAGTTGAGAGAGCAGAGTCAGTGAGATGGCTCAGTGGGCTAGCCCTGGATTCCACAGTTGAGAGAGCAGAGTCAGTGAGATGGCTCAGTGGGCTAGCCCTGGATTCCACAGTTGAGAGAGCAGAGTCAGTGAGATGGCTCAGTGGGCTAGCCCTGGATTCCACAGTTGAGAGAGCAGAGTCAGTGAGATGGCTCAGTGGGCTAGCCCTGGATTCCACAGTTGAGAGAGCAGAGTCAGTGAGATGGCTCAGTGGGCTAGCCTTGGATTCCACAGTTGAGAGAGCAGAGTCAGTGAGATGGCTCAGTGGGCTAGCCTTGGATTCCACAGTTGAGAGAGCAGAGTCAGTGAGATGGCTCAGTGGGCTAGCCTTGGATTCCACAGTTGAGAGAGCAGAGTCAGTGAGATGGCTCAGTGGGCTAGCCTTGGATTCCACAGTTGAGAGAGCAGAGTCAGTGAGATGGCTCAGTGGGCTAGCCCTGGATTCCACAGTTGAGGGAGAAAACTGAATCCTGCAACATCCTGTTAGATGTCCTCTAACCTTCACACACCTCTTCCGTGACACACACACACACACACACACACACACACACACACACACACACACACACACACGCCTGTACTCATACACATGACAATAAACACCGAGGACAGGACACCCTGGAATCAACCACTAAGTGACCACTGAAGGACATCCAGTCGTGGGCTATGGAAAACTGCTCCCTCCTGTGGGATTTCATCCCATTTAGGAAACTGGTGAATGTAAGACACACCACATGTGTCGATGCAAAACGCAGCTCTCACCCCAAAGGGAAAAAGAGACAGTTGATTCCTGAGCCAAATGAGTGTCCGTGACCCCCGCAACAGGACTCGGGTTGCTCCAAAAGTATGGATTCACCATGGAGGTGGTTACATGAGATCTTATTAGTTACAGAAGAAAAAAATCAAATCGTTCATCAAACACATTGGTGGGAGCCACAGGTGAGTGGTCACAGCAGACTTTCCATGCTCTCTGGAGACATCCCTGGCTTTTTTTCTTTCTTTTTCTTTTTTTTTTTTTTTTTTTTTTTTTTTTTTGAGACAGGGTTTCTCTGTGTAGCTTTGTAGACCAGGCTGGCCTCAAACTCACAGAGATCTGCCTGACTTTGCCTCCTGAGTGCTAGGATTAAAGCTGTGTGCTTTTCTGCTAAAAATACACAGAAAAGGTTTTGATAGTCACGGGGTGTCAGGTTACACACAGGAGTATGCAATGAGTGAATTTCAAAGAGACTGAAAAGTAGCCCACTATCACTTGGCTTTCTGTGACATCTT